AAATATGTGGGCAAATGCCTTCTCTCATGCCAGTACTCTCGGGGCACGGCTGTTTTATTAAATGTATTTGAAAGAAACAGGAAGCACATGCTCAAGCATGTATCTCAGCAAGCGCTTTGACCTTCATTGATGTCATGTGCCAATTTGCAATTTTCTGTTTCTGCCCTGCATTAAGTTTGGTCAAGGCATTAGAGAACATCAGAGAAAGAAATTGCTTAAGGCAATAACAGTATTTGTTCTTCATCCTTAAATAATTCTTTTTCCTGTGAGTTGTGCCAACTTCAGTAACCACTGATGCAGCATTGTAAATGTAAATATTGTATTTACATCGGAAATGGTGATTGCTTGTATGCAGCAAATGAAATTTGGCATTCATACCCTCCCATCAAGTGCTGTCCTACTAGCATGCTTTAATGTACACACACACAAACCAATTGTATAAACCTTTATTTATTTATTTTCCAACAGAGAGATGAAAACAAAGCACAGTATTTTGATCCAGCAGTCACAATTCTATATGAAAAGGCTGTGCTGTGTTTTTACTGTTTGGTTGTGCTGGATATCCAATGCGGCATGCAGTTTGCCTCTCTCGTTACTTGGATCCCCTTCATTTGGCAGAAGATATCTAAGGCGAAGAGGCCTTGATGCTTACGAGTGCTGCAAAAGGCTATTGTCCAGCCAAACCATGGCAGAAGAGAGCAGCAGCAGGACAAGTTTGCCCTGCCATCGCTCCTTCCACGTAGCTTTCTGATTATTCAGCGTGCACAACGTTTCAGGGCTGGCTGCGGTGAGTTCGATCACCAGTGAGCTCTGGTGAGGCAGCAAGGAGCTACGGAGCTACCCTGTGCAGTGCTGGCTGGGTCGAGGCAGCCCTGCAGACGGCCCTCCTTGTAGGGCAGGGCCGCCACATTTCCAGCGAGGCATTTTGGCAGCAGGGGGGAACAGCACTCTAGTCCACCCTCTGCTGATGGGTGCAGAGGAAAGCAGGGTCTGGTGACTGGAAGGGAAGGGCAGTGATCTTCTCTCTTGGTCCTGGATGCAGAGAGTGTGTCAATGCACTCAATAGGTTATAGAGAGGCCAAATGGACAGAAAATGTAGCATGAACACTGGGAATAAAATGACTGACAACATGTTTTGTTTCATTAAAAAAGGGCTGTCAAAGACACAGTGAACAAGGAAATACCTCATGCTAACTAAGAACTAGTGCGGAGTTTGTTACCTCAAAAAATCCGTTTTAAACTTGTATCTCAACACCTATATTTAAAACAGGCTTCAAAACAGAGGAAGAGTGCATTAGAATGGAGCCATAACCAAGCATATAGAGAGAGTGGGACTGAGAGCAACATTTATAAATTTCTTGCTGAAGACTGTGTGACTGAGTCTCTAACTTTGTATTTACTGAATAAAAGACTTCATTTCATATGTTTATAAAATGCTTGATGAACATGGAAGAAACCTTTCTGAAGCACAAAACTGCAAAATCCTTTCAGAAAAAAGGCATGAAAAGATCTCATGTGGAGCTGCACACATTGGGAAAATCATAAGTAAAGGTAACCAGCCAGCCAACTATAATGTCCACAGTGGTGTTTCTGTTCCTTCAGGGCTCTTCTCATTGAACATCAAGTACTCAAGAAAAAGAAAGAAAAGGACCTATCATGGCTGTGAGTATGATTACTGCTTTCCAAGAGTACAATCCTCTTGGGATTCCCATAACCCTCCAAACTTGGAGCATTGCAGGAGGACGCATCTGGACTATTAAGTGTGGCGCTTTGGAGCAGGAGGGAAAGATGCTCAGGCAGTACCAGCTACAGGTCTATCTTAGTGGCTCTGCCCTCATCTCCCCCCTCATTCCCCTGGCATGCCCTCTAATCTCTCCTGACTTTGGAAAAGCCGCTGGCATGGTTATTTCTGCACCAGCTTCAGGAAGGCAGTGAATCCAAACATAACTGCATGGTTGGAGTCCAGCTACAATGTTGGAGCAATCTTCCAGCTCTTCAAGGAGCATGTTACTTATACCGGCTGTTTATTCAGGACCCATTAAGCAATTTTAGGGTGCCTGTGATCATGAAAATCCAACCAGTCAGGAAAGGTCCTGGATGAGCAAATTTTGGGGGTGGGGGAGGGCTCTTTCAGATAAGGCTTCTGTTGTGCATTTGTCCTGCTACATCTACTGAATTTTCCAGAAGGCCCTATTCTTACATTTGCTCTTAAAACAAGTTGCCATTGTGCTAATGGAGGTTGCCATTGTCCGTCTAGTCATGTCACAAATTAAAAAGTCAATTTCCCAAACAAATCCAGGGATGGGAAGGGAGCAAAGTACTGCTCTTGGAACAGCGGTGTACCCTTTGTCCCACCCTGGCTACAGGGCTGGCCCAGTGGCTGTCACTTTAATTTCTTTGCCAGAAGCAAAGCTATGTTGGCAAACCCACTATGTTGGGGGGCGGGGGTGGGGGGCTGGCCTTGTTGCCTTCTGCCTTGCCCCAGAGTGCTGTCTTGAGTAGCCCATACTCCAATAAGCTGACCCTCTTGCAAGCCTAGAAGGTTTTGGAAGAAAAGAGGTGGTGGCAGCTGCAGTGGATCAGCCTAATGCTCAGCTTGCTGCTTCTGCACTCAGCACCTGATCCGGTCTTTAAAGGGAAAAGAATAGAAGAAAATGAGCAAAACACAACCAAATGCTTCCAGCATTTAACACTTGTCTTTGGGTAAACATAGATCTGTATATCCCTTTTGAAACTTAGAACATGAATTTTATTTATTTATTGCCTATTATGTATTTGCTACATTTGCATGAGCCTCCCTTTTTTATGTTCACAATGAACTTGTAAGGTAGGTCATGCTGAAAGTCACCCAGCCTCGTGACATAATGGGGACTTAATCTCGGATCTTCCCCAAGCCATTTCAACACCCGGAGCAGTTCACCAGACTGGCTCTTGACATTGTGCCTTGGTACTGTGGTCACTTGGTTACTGAGAATCTGGGCACTAGCTGTACAGTCCTCACGTGTATCCTTTCAGCCCTTCAAAGCAGTTCATAAAGCATAATACAATAATTAAAGTATCAAAAGGACAAACCAAAATTATGAAGAGCATGAAAACAAATCCCCCTCTCTATCAGGAAATATCAAAAACAAGCCTAAAGACCATTTGAACAGTCTTCCTGAAAGCACCAGGAATGGGCGTACAGCAGGGGTCTCAAACTCGCGGCCCGCGGGCCACTTTCTGGGACGGGCGGGGCACGGGGGAGGGGCCCTGCGGGCTTCAAAGCGCTGGCGGCACCTGGGCCGGCCGTGGGATGAGCGGCCCACCACCACCGCTTGCTGCGGCCCAGCCTCACCCAGACTCTACTTCCAGCGGCCCCCAGGTAAGTTGAGTTGGAGACCCCTGGCGTAGACAGTCGTACAGGATGGCATTCCAGAGGCAGGGCCTACTGAGAAGGCCCTGGCCTGTGTACTCACCTCTGACAGCAAAAGGTTGTGACATAGAGCTTGTCCGGAAGGTCGTAACGTGCCCCGTAACATTGCATAACAGACCCAACAAGTTTATCAGTAAGCTTCCCTCTCTAGGATTCTCCACAGGACTCTGTGTCCACTTTTGCCTGAATATATGCAATGTAACAAACTCTTTGGGGGTTTCCACAGGGATGGGCAAAATGGCCACTTTTATAGAAATGGATCAGACTGGTATTTGAATATTAACAGTGTGGATGGGGAACGCCTAGAGCGCACAGGGAAGGCTCCATGGCGTACACATAGATCTGTCCCCAGCACCTCATTGCGACTACCAGTCCGCCAACCTCAGCTCCCTGATTAATTGCTGCTGAATAATGGAGCACCACAGAGCATGGGCAGGGCGCATTAAGTTGTCTGAACCCAACTGTCCTAAGAAGCCATGACTTATTAGCCACAAAAATCCAGGAAGAGAACCCATGGTTTGTGATGAGGCTGTGAATTATGGTTTTGTTTCCCCAGTTGGCTTCAGACAACCTGATAAACCCGCATTTCAACAACTCACAATTCAGCAACAACCCATACTCATTCCTGAGGGTGGGTGATGACGTGGTTTGAATGTGTCCAGCTCTCTGACAGCAAGTAGGTTCCCTTGAAGTTTTCACTGTTTCAAACGACCCCGGGCATTTGCACCCACCGAAGGCTGGGGCTGTTCACTAGGCCGACATGATCTGCCTCTGTGTTCCTCACCAGTGTGACCAAGCTGCCTCGGGAGCGTGGCTGAGGACAGGCCTGGCCCCATCATTAGGCAAAGTGGGGCAACTCAGCAGATGCAAGGGAGGCGAAAGGGCTGGTCCCCCTGTCACTCTGCTTCTTTGGGGTATTAAGCAGTTTGTGTGGCACGATCCCTCAGCCTGCCTGCCACACTCAGGTGTGATCGGGGGCCCCATCCTGTTGCCAGTGTTAAAGGAACAACCAACTGCCCCTCCAGCTGGATTCCGCAGGGGCATGGAAAGCTATGCCAACCTGCCCTTGGCCTAGGGCTGCAAAATGTCTCGGGACACCCGTGTTCGCAGGCCAGCCCAGGAAGAACTTCTTTAAAGCAGACGGAGCCGGTGTGTTGCAGTGGCCAGCGGTGACTCGGGCCTTGCTAGGCTCAGGCTAAAACGCCCCCGCCCGCATGGAGAGGCACTCTCTGGGCTACACTTCCCGACTGCGGGGCGGCTGTCCCGGGGCGACATGGCGCGCTCCCCGCCCCTCCGCTGGAGCCGGGGCAGCCTCCGCGGGCGGGAGGCGCCCGGGGTGGGGTGGCCGCCGCCGCCCCGCTTCTGCGGAGGTAGCCTTGCCTCGCGGCTCCGCTTCCGCGTGGCTCCTCCTCGGCCCTGCCACCTCCGCCGCGGGCAACCCGCGACGGGACCGGCGCCCGGACGGGGTGGAGCAGCCCGGGAAAGAGGCCGGTGGCTGACCTCAGCGCCGGGGAGCGGCTACGGCGCGGATCACGCGGCTCTCCAATAAAAGAGCACGGAGCGCGCCTTGCCGCCGCCTGCGCCGCTGCCGCCGCGGTTCCTGCGGTGTCTTCGCGCCCGAGGTCGCCCGCCGCCGCCGCCGCCCGCCTCGCGTGGGGAGCTTGCCGCACCCGGGGCCGCTGCACGGAGTCAGGGGAGGCGAAGATGCTGTTTTGGCACACGCAGCCGGAGCATTACAACCAGCACTCGACGGGCAGCTACCTGCGGTGAGTGAGCCCCGCACGCCGGCCGAGCACCGGGTCGGGCTGTGGGGGCCCAGTGAGCCTTTCGCGGGACCCTGGGGGTGCCTCGGGCCGCGCACCAGGAGGGCGATCAACCCGGGCGCCGTGGCGAGCCCCCTGCTTGATCCGGGCCGGCCGCCTCCGCCGCGTGCTTAGTCGGAAGCCGGCGCCAGCGTGGTCACCGGGCTTGCTCGGCTAAGCGTGCATGCCGGCTGCAGCGCCTTGCACGGACCTGGCGGCCGTGCTGTCTGCACGCCGCGCGGTGCTGGGGAAGCGGAGCGCGGGCCCCGGAGCGGAGCAGGCGTTGCGGAGTATCGAGGACGGGGTGAGCTGCGGCTTCGGCCGCTCGCACGCTTCACGGGCGGCAGGCACCAGGTTTGCCCTCTGACGTTTGCAGGCAGGCTGAGCAAGCCCCGGAAAGGGCCGCTCCGCAGCGCCCGCAGCGAGGGCTTGGCGGACTGGAGCCCGCGCTTCCTGCGCTCTCATGCAGGCGCAGAGAGGTCCTTGTGGGTTGTGTCCTGTGGATGCGATCCCGTGTTCCTGTAACAGTCCGTGAGGCGCTGCGTGCTGACGGCGCGGTCCAAACCGCCAGAGCCTCACAGAACAGGCTCGATGGCACCTGTGCTGTGTGTGTGTGTGTGTGTGTGTGGTTAGTTGGCTAAACTCTACCATGGCGCGTTTCAGAATATCATAGGAAACATAAAGAGTTCTCTGTTTCGCAGAGCTCACAATTTGAGAAACAAGCCAGGAGAGCATCAACTGAAGACGGGAAGAAAGATAATGAGGACTTTGGTGGGTGCGAATTTACTCTCAACAAACAGATGCGTCCCAATAACGAAGTTCATTTAGGTAGTTGCGTTGTTGTTTTTGAGAATCTGTTTCAATTATTTGAATGCTGGAGAAGAATTATGGCTTTTGTGTGTGTATGGGGGGGATGTATTGTGTCTAGAGATCAGTTTTGTTGCTTCAGTTTCGTTGATGTATTTGTGATATATTTGAGCCAGTGGAAATTACACAAACCAGAAAAGGGCACGACAGCGGCAGTATCTAACCCAGGTCATTTGATGTGGGCTAAATACCCTGTGATTTCCTTCCACTAATTTATCATTTTAATTATGGCTAAAAAAGGATCCCAGCTGCGGGAGAAGCGGTGGTTTTAAATTGGCGCTGGTGATTGATTATGGATAGTGTTTAGTCTGGATTAATTAACACAAAGGGAGGTATTGTTTGTGTGTATACAGCTATGGCACGTAAATTTGTATACATTTTCTGCTAATGCAGATTATGGGGGGGTAAGGATACTCTTTGTCAGTGACATTATAACTATGCAGTAGAATCTTGTGGCTTAAAGGCCAACAAACTTAGCATAAACTTCCACTGTGCACCATTCATTTGAGGATGTATGAAGTGTTATGCAAAGGTGGCAGAAAGACATGCAGTTGTGCAGGAAGGGCAGTGTCTGTCAGTTTAGGTTAATACTTTATGCGTTTGAAGTGGATTCTAGTTTATTGGAATAATGTCAAAATCTACAGTTGGGCATTAACTTTATTTGGACTAATTATGTAACCAGCAACAACTAGGCAAACTTTCAGCATCTCTCCAGCAGGCAAGCTGCTGCAGAAGGGAGAAGAGGAGGAAATAGAAAGGTCGATTGGATGTTGAGCTCATGAAAGTGGTCCTAATCATAAGATGGAATGGAGACAGAGGCACGGATCTGAACAGATTAGATTCTGCTGGATGTCTTGCAGGTTCCAGATCATACCCAGGCTGGCTGGGATGAACCAGTGCTTGCATTTTCTTCCTTCCACTGTTGCATCCTCTTGCCTGATCAAGACATGTCCGGATAAAGATATTGCCTGACAGTGGAGTTTGGAACCTTTCTTCTGGACAGCGTAGCTCATTTTGTTTAACATTCACTTTGGTAAAGATGCCTCTGGGCTTGGTTTTTGCTGCCACAGACTAATATAGTTATCCTTCTGGAAATTTTCGGATCATGTCTGGGAGCATAACAGATTCATTAGCATGGACATTTTTTTGACTAGAGCATAGACATTTTTTTGACTATCAGGTGCATCTATCATCTAAATTTATGATCTTATGAACAAATTTGGGAAGTTGAAAAGAGAACTTTTCAAGGTATCTGTAAAGTACTGGCAAGTACCCTGCTGATGAGGAAGGCACTCTATCTCAGGGTTTGAGTGAGGTGTGTGACCAGCACCCCCAGTCATTTGAATGACCACTAGATCCTTTTCATTCACTTTAGTTGCTGAGCTTGTTTAATCCAGTTTTTTCCTGCTTTACTTCCACACCAGTCACATTTTAAATGCCTGTAAGTAAAAAGGTCAATGGGCAGGTAAGAGCACAAATGAAAGACTACCTTCCAGCCTTTCCCAATCAAAGCTATACCTGTGCAGTTGGGAGGGCTCTTTGCTTTAAAATAGTGTGATTTTTATCTGTCTGCTATTAACAATGTCTAACATGCTGTTTCAAAATCCACAGTTGAGCAATGCCCTTTCTTCGGACCAACCAAAATGTCACAAAGTAATGAACAAGTTCTAGAAATGATGGAACAAAAAGGGGTGGGGGAGAGAGATGGATAGATGCTGTTGCAGCCGCGAAGCCTGCATGTTGTCTGTTTTGAATGTGGGAGGCGATTGCAGACCTTATTGGGTTAGGCTTCACTAGGTGCAGATACCTCCTGGTCCCCAGGGCTTCTGGGACAAAGAAGCAACTAGTGGTGGTTCCCATTTTCAACATATACAACCCAGAAGCTGGATCTGTCACATGATTAAAACTTGGGCTATTTTTATTTCAGCAAAGCTGGAGGTCTTGATGGGAGCCAAACTGGCAGCATTGCCTAGTGGCTGGAAGATACATAACCTAGGTGCTACCTGAGATTAGCATAGCTCCTAGTGGAGTCGTATTCAAGAAAAGCATGTTTTCATACATTCACTTACCAAACCATTATAAAGTAGAACTTGTTTGGATTAGGAAGAAGTCTTCATTCCAGTGAATTGTCCAAAAAGAGACAAACCATTTAATGCACAAAATTGTGCATTGATACACATTTGAGTGCGTCCTTGGTACATAAATATCTATTGTTGATATCTAATTCTAGGTGAGTGCTGGGGTAAGGATACTATAATTTAATCTGTTGATGTTTTGAGCCTGTTGTTAGTAGAGTTTCTGGCCCTGTGAGGATTCTGTGAGCTGCAACTTTGCCTAGCACTGGCATGAAAGTATTGCTAATAATATATATGTATACATATATGCTCACACATACACAAATGTACACAAATGTTCAAAATTCCTGTTCCCCATCACTAGTATAGGTTGAGGTTGGTTGAACAAATGTTGGAATGAGTGTTGTGGCTATATATTTGTTCCTGTTTGCTTGTTTTGTCCCCCCCCCCCCACGACTGTATATGTGTTTTTGGTTCTTTGTTTTGTATTCTTGGTGTTTTGTTTTGCTGAAAGCCTGCAAAAATCAAATAAAAATTGTAAATATTTAAAAAAATCGTTGCCTATCACGGTCGCTCGTTCATAAGAAATGCCACAATTTCTCAATTCTGTGTCGCTTCCATAGGCACTCCAAGGGCTGACAAGGCAGCCAGGGCTGTGAGCTATAATTGACTGGGGCAGAAAATAAGCATTGCTTTTCATCTCTGTATTTTAAGATGGTAAAGCAAAATTATAGTTAACATATCACTAAGCATAAAATAATAAGAGTGGAAAGAATGATACTATGTAACAAATCAAATTCTACTCTTCCTGTGAAGGCTTGGGTGTGGATAAAGATGGTTAAAAACCACATCACAGGTATTAATTGTATTAGCTAGCTTCCAGATGTTTGTTATCAGCAACAACTGTTTTGTGAATGGATATTGTCACTGTCAGTACTTTTAACTTAATTTCCTTCTGACCTCACTATTTACAATTCCTCCCCCTAAAATGTGCTATACATCTGCCTGAAACTCTCCACAGCACTGCATGAAGTGACTGTGGTCCATGAGGTCTCATCCTGGAATAAATTTATTAGTTTCAAGATGCTACAAGAATTTCTTCTCATTTGCTTTTCCCGGAATAGACTCAGTATACCTATTCTCTGGAAAACATAATTGAGGAAAGTTAAAGTAGACTTAGTGGCAATTTGTAGCAATTGCTTAGTTTAGTTCTACGTATGGTTTTCCAGGGAATGTTAATGCTTTTACATTTCATGTACTTGAATATGACAGCAATCCTAACCACAGTGTTGCTAATATTAATTGCAGCTACACTTTTGCATTTATATCTCTGTACCACTTTCTTTTTGTCTGGCATAAACTAGTTTTTATAAGTTGACGAGGTATGCAAGGGTGCACAGAGGGTGTATTCTTGTGTTCTTTACAGTCAAAATATATTTCTTTCAAGTTGACAAAAATATTTCCTTTTTCAAGTCTCCTAAGCAGCTGAGGCTGCAATTCTATAGTTACCTTGGAGTAAGTCCTATTGTACTCAGTGAGACTTTCTTATGAAAAGAAATGGGTAGGATGGCATTGCTAGTCATTATCTTAAAATTTCTGAGAAAGGAAAAAAGAGAAATTCTTAGGAAAAAATTAGACACAAAAATGAAACAAAACAAAAAATGAATTAAGTCGTACTTAGAACTGGGACTGCAAAAGTAAATTTCCAGATTCTTTAAAGAGTTCTATAGAAAGAAGACTAATGTTTGTGTAAGTAAATTTCTGTATTCTTAATCCTCTTTCTAGTGTTAGCACCTGTGCACTAAATTATTATCTGCTTGTGTTAACTACAGAAGCAGTTTGTAAGAGTGAGCATCAGATTCTGAGCAATGGGTTCATTATTGGTCACCAGTGTAAATCCAAAAAGATCAGAGAGCTGCTGCTCTTTTGGTCTCCTAGAACAGGGTATCAATTACCTCTTTTTTGATCTGAGCCTCATTTACTGCTCTTTTTGTCCAAGACATTCTCTAGCACAGTCTGATT